ATGACTGGGAGCTGAATTTCATAATTTTGTGTCTTACTTATGCTGGGAACATTTCCCGAAAATTTCGGCCTCCTAGTTTTCCTGGTTTCCGAGTTGCCATGCTACGACGAGGAGACGACACGACGGTACAACGACGAATTTTTCGCAGATTATTCAGACGGGGATACTACGAGCTCCGGCCGAGTCTTGGATGAGGGCCGATGTGCTGTATGTGCTTAGTGGAGAGAATGGAGTAAATAAACGAACTTTATCAACACCAATACAAGTTTACAGTTGAGTGCTTGGGACGACGGGATCAAGTCGGACGATTGCAGTGACAGCCGTTGCAGAAAAAGAATGCTGATCATTAGAGTACAGCAACACACTGCTGCAACTGAACAATGGGCGCCAAACACGGAACACTGAGCTTTACAACAAATTTACAGGCTTAAATGCTCATCACAACGGGCGGGACAGATCACAGGTCAATCTGCTGCGCGATTCTGGATGGCTCTTTGCTTCTCCTGCGCGCCATGTTTTGCTCGCTGTACAGCTATTTTCCCGCCAAAAAATTTTACGGGCCTGAACGTGAGGACCACGCATGACTGGGAGCTGAATTTCATAATTTATGTTGTACTTATGCAGGGAACATCCCTTGAAAATTTCAGCCTTGCAGCTTTCCTGGTTACCAAGCTAGCCATTTTCCCACCAAAAAAAGCTGTACGCGGGAATCACGCACATCTGGGGGCTGAGTTTGAAATCTTTGAGTTATATGTGGACGGAGAGCATAACGTCAAAATTTCAGCTTTCTATCTTTTCTCGTTCCCAAGTTATCAGTTCTCCCGCCAAAACTTTCACCTCCCCGTATGCGGAGCCCAGGCTTGCATGAGGGTTGATACCGAGGTTCTGGGGTGGGACTTGGCCAGGGAACCTACGAGCAAAATCTTGGCGCTGGAACTTGCTTGGTTGCCGAGTTGAAATAGTCGGGCACATACACACACACACACACACACAGACATGGTCGCCGCAATATGCGTTTTTATGCGTTTTTGCCGAGCAGCACTAGAGCGCTGCAACAGGCAGCAAAAACACATACTGCAACGATCCTGCCAGTGTGTGCGTGCGTGTGTGTATGTGTGTATGTTTGTGTATGTGTGTGTGTGTGTTCATCTGTCCGGCTATTTCAACTCGCTAACCACGCAAGCTTTGAAGCTGAAATTTTGCCAGTGTGTTCCACAGCCAGATGCCACCCCAGGACCGCGGTTCCAACCCTCACGCACGTCTGGGCCCCGCGTACGAGCGCGTGAAAGTTTTGGCGCGAAAATTGCCAACTCGGGAACGAGAAAAGCTAGAAAGCTGAAATCTTGGGAGAATGTTCCCTACCCATGTATGACAAAAAGATTTCAAATTCAGCTGCGCAGGAGTGCCCGGGGCTTACGTACGGGCACTTGAAAATTATGGCGGGAAAATTCATAACTCGAGAATGAGAAAGGCTTTGGGGGAATGTTCCATACTCATGCACAACCAAAAGCTTTCAAACTCAGCTCCTTAAGACCGCCAGAGGATTACGTACGGGCACGTGAAA